CTACCTAAGCTTGAGTCTGCTTTGATGTAGATCATCTTTGAAAACTACATAAAGACTGGTCAAGGTTCCGGAAGAGCGCCTCTCTTATTACACCGGTCTGTATCCTTATTTAAACTCCAGTGTAGGAATGTTAGGTATTGGTGTGTGGAGCTTCAGACCATGTACTCAGAGTATTGTAATACATTCTTACACCCAATCATTTACAATTACATGCTAGAAAAGCTGGAGTCCTAATGTTATTTTAACCTTACTAGAGGGCGCCACTTGATCATTTCATGTTGATAAATGTATTTAATTGTATCATGTTGTGGGTTTGGAATTCTATTATCATTTCTTGTTAGAATCAAATTCATTTTAATTAGAAATACTTTGTACAAAATATGATGTTTCCTTGTGAGGTTGACTTTGTAAGACTGGGTGTTTATGTTTCCTTGTAAGGTTGACTTTCTAGGTTAGTGAAAATCTTCACTACGTGCTGTACTAAATTCTAGGTTAGTGAAAATCTTCACTACGTGCTGTACTAAATTCTAGGTTAGTGAAATCTTCACTACGTACTGTACTAAATTCTAGGTTAGTGAAAATCTTCACTACGTGCTGTACTAAATTCTAGGTTAGTGAAAATCTTCACTATGTGCTGTACTAAATTCTAGGTTAGTGAATATCTTCACTTCATACTGTACTTAATTCTAGGTTAGTGAATATCTTCACTACGTGCTGTACTAAATTCTAGGTTAGCGAAAATCTTTACTACATACTGTACTAAATTCTAGGTTAGTGAATATCTTCACTACGTGCTGTACTAAATTCTAGGTTAGCGAAAATCTTCACTTCATACTGTACTAAATTCTAGGTTAGCGAAACATATAGTAAATGTTATCTTTAGTGTCTTATCACTATTGTCATTATTGATGACAGGAATAAATGATAATATTTTAATTTTTATTAAAATGGGTTTTATTTGCAGAATTTTTAATTATTTCATTATTTTTAGGTTTTTTTTCTACCACTATTCAAAATAAGATTTTCTAAATATGTGATGCATGCGTGTTAAGGTAGTTCTGATAAGTAAATTTCTGATATGTGACAGTCATGTTCTGGGTTAAACGTATATACGATTTAATGGCTTTTGGCCTGATGTGTATCATTACTTCGTCAGAAATTTGTGATAATTGTCAGCCTAGCTCTCCAGGTGTAAGCCCCAGTTGTAGTGGGATAATAGGTTGGTTTATCGTTGTCATGGCTGATCACACAGGTGGCTAAATCATTGTCACGTTTCCATGTTTGTTTTCAAAAATAAAACAATTAAAACTCTGAATTTTTAAGTGAATTTTTATGAGGGTCTTCAGACTGTATTTTAAATTTTATTGCAAGTATATTGATGACAAAACATTAAATGCATGTAAATATCTTATGTCGCTGAGGGCAGCAAACAAGAGAATGGTGACTGAAGTTCACATACCTGTGGCAGAACAGTAGTTAAACTTGTAAGGCTTCTGAACTAATAAGGGCAAAATTAAGTTCATGTTCATTACACATATTTAATTCACCTGAGTTTTTGATAAATTAACAAGTTTGAGAAGGACTGATAAATACCCCAAATTTGTCCGATCACATCATGCATATCCCAAATCAAGAAGTGCAGAAATCTAGGAAACAACTTCAACTTTGATCTATTTTCCTAATTGAAACCTTGAAATTTTGAAAATTAATGGTAATTTTATCCTGCTACAATTTTCAGACTGACTTATATTAAACAATTAACTTAAACGTGTGTTATGAAGGTTATCGGTCGATGACAAAGGTGGTAATTGTGGGGAAATATTAGGTATCACATGTATAGCCATGTATTACAGGATAATTACTTGTTCTGCTTCCATGATCAGGACGAAATTGAGGAGATATTACTATACATACAAAACAGTCCTGGTTGTATGTGATCTGTAACTTTTGTGCCCGGACCAATTGTATCAATTTATGTTGGGATGAACTTGGTAATTACAGGAAGGACATTTCAATAAATTAACCTACTTACCACCTACACATACAGTAATATACCACAAATATGTGGTGATTAGTGGTATGTTTTTCAGGTGTGTATACCTACATTATATACCTGGTATACCACAGGAAGTACAGGTAGATTTGTACAGTAGTACATGTACATAACATATGTATCCAGTGTCTGGTTGTTTATAGCTAATCAAACATTCCAAATTGCTTGATCTATAAAATCAAATAAGATCAATTAAATTTCAAAATAAACACTGAAACGAGGAACTGAGAATTATGAATTCAAGGAAGAAAATATTGATAAACTTTGAAATGGTTTTAAGTCTATTGAATATGCTGACCAGTCTGTAGAGACTGAGGGTTTACACTGGTGTATGGCTCTATATATACCTGTACAGGTACTTAGAGGGGTGAAGTTGACCGATCACTAAGACTGAGTACATATTCTACATATCTTACATTCCAACAGTAGGTATTTATGACTTTGCCTTGGGTATTGAACAAAGTGACAGATTATGTTTAGTCCAGTAAACCTTGATATGTACAGTTCAAACTAAATAGTAAAAATTACGCTTACGTTGTGTCAGGTCTCCTGTCAATGTTAAATTATCCTTTGTATACTTAGATAGTTAACAAAATTAAAACTTTAATAGAACTACCTACATAATAAGTACAGCTTGTACATAACCTTTAAATGTTTACCATAAAACCAACACTTGGATTGAACACTGCTTCTTTTTCATTACTACCTGAAATATAACATTTTAGCCCTGTCAGAGGTCAGTATTATTGTAGCCCTTTTGGAGGTCAGTATTTTTGTAGCCTTGTAGGAGGTCAGTGTTTTTGTAGCCCTGTAGGAGTTCAGTGTTTTTGTAGCCCTGTCGGAGGTCAGTGTTTTTGTAGCCCTGTCGGAGTCAGTGTTTTTGTAGCCCTGTCGGAGGTCAGTGTTTTGGTAGCCCTGTCGGAGTCAGTGTTTTTGTAGCCCTGTCGGATGTCAGTGTTTTTGTAGCCCTGTCGGAGGTCAGTGTTTTTGTAGCCCTGTCGGAGGTCAGTGTTTTTGTAGCCCTGTCGGAGGTCAGTGTTTTTGTAGCCCTGTCGGAGGTCAGTGTTTTTGTAGCCCTGTCGGATGTCAGTGTTTTTGTAGCCCTGTAGGAGTCAGTGTTTTTGTAGCCCTGTCGGAGGTCAGTGTTTTGGTAGCCCTGTCGGAGTCAGTGTTTTTGTAGCCCTGTCGGAGGTCAGTGTTTTTGTAGCCCTGTCGGAGGTCAGTATTTCTGTAGTTCTGTCGGAGGTCAGTTATTTAGTACAGTGCATGCATACATGTTTATTTCACTTGAGGATTAAAATAACAACAAATAGAAAGTGTTGAAGAATATTGCTCACATCACAGGAAAATAACTGCGTCAATCTACTACATCAGGGTTTTTCACGTTTTTTTCATGCGAGTCCAGATCACCAACTCCAAAATTTTGACGAGTCCTTCTGGTATTGAGATATAATGGGACCTCAAAATATGTAGGAGTCCCACAGGAAAAGCATGAGTCTGGAACTCAAATATCTGAGTCCCAGAAATCACTGTTACCTTTACAAGTGATTATAATTTAAGAAAAGCTATTCAAGTATTGTGTGTTTGATGATAATATCCACTAGGTGTGTATTACTGGTATGTTTTAATATACCTGGCCCCACTTTTATAAAATATCTCAACTTGAGACTTCCTCAAGCCCAGATTTTCCTCAGCTAATATCTCCTTGAAAATATCTTGTATGAAAATTCCTCAAGGAATTTCAGGACATCCTAGCCGAGGACTTCCTCCTGTCCCTTGAGAAAATTTTATACAAGCCGTTTTTGAGGAGATATCAGCAGAGGAAAATCTCGACTTGAGGTAATCTCAAGATGAGATGTTTTATACAAGTGGGGCCTGTTATCATACCTGTCACTTGAGGCTGAATATGTAAAGCATTAAATATGATACTATCAGCTGTTACGGCAACTGATTCACCTTGGTGAATTACCTCCCTTTGTTGTCAAAGTCAAAGTAACACAGAGGACAGAAGTGGTTGAGTAACACAAGATGGTTACCTAGGACACAGTGTGAAGCAGGTTAGCAACAAAAGGCAAAATTATCTTTTGTTGATGAATGAAAAAAAATCTGATTGAAAATTAATCTTGATTTGATAAATCAGCTTTACTTTCTATGAAATTATGGTCAGTGTTTGAAGTCTACATCAATATCCTTCCTTGTTCAACTGTATGTGTCTCTCCTCGTGTCCTAATACAACATCTGTATGTGTCTCTCCTCATGTCCTAATACAATATCTGTATGTGTCTCTCCTCATGTCCTAATACAACATCTGTATGTCTCTCCTGTTCTAATACAACATCTATTTGTGTCTCTCCTTATGTCTTAATACAATATCTGTATGTATCTCTTCTCATGTTCTAATACAACATCTGTGAAGGGATGATTAATTTGAGTATGATATAAGGAATCAGATGTATTTCTATATCAGAGGTATATGGTTTCATTTTACAGTTTTATAAAAACAAGTTAAGTTGGTTTACCATATTTGAAAATAACATCTTACAAAAATAGTTTGAAAATTATTAAGATTTTATATTGATTGAGTTGGTCAAAACTTAATGGTTATCAGATTAAGCTCAACAAGAGGTCCAAGGGACCTGCATCCCTCACAAGCGGAGACCCAATAGGGTAATTATTTAAAAAATAATCGACCTCATGAACCTCTTAGTTTAGTTTTTAATTGAATATCATGGATTTTCTCTTTCTGAGTTATGGTATTTCAAATTTAATACAACATAATGCTGTTTTCCAGTGTTAAAACACAGAAAATTTTCGTGAACTGACTGGTATATTCATTTGACGATTCTTGTGAATGTTTCATCATCATATATTTGAATATCTCTTAATATCATAATGATGTACCATCTTTATGTATTCTGTAATATAATAATTGTCTTTTATTTTTCAGAATTACATGCAGTTGTCACAATCTCATCAACAACAAATCCTGTTGGACTTTTAGGAAATAATGAAGTGGAACTTGTATGTACATATGATCTATCTCCTACTGATTCAGTGTTTACAATAGCTTGGAAAAGGGAGACATCAAAAGACTCTGGAACATACGAACAATTAGCATTGTTTTATCCACCAGGAACAAATCAGAATGAAGCAGTATTAGCCAATTTAACTAACCCGTCTGTGTTTGGACGAGTAGTGCTAACAAATCCAACAGATTTATCACTAACAGCTAAGATAAAGTTTACAAGTGTTGTTTGTGATGATGAGAGGAAATACCAATGTGCTGCTTTTGGACTAAATAATATTGAACAAGCTGATCCAACCAGTATAACCAGTCTTACAGTCAAAGGTATGGCAATGTATGAAATAAAGTAATTATCCTGATTTCCTCACAGCTTTTAGGGGCAGGATGTTCAACCTACAAAGTCCCTGACTGTGCTAAAGTCTTCAATCCTTATAACTAGTCAGGGGTCTCCCACCAGCTTCTCTCCTCAAAAAAAATGTTATGATTTATTTCAGGTTTCTATTAGGTACAAGTAAAATGTTTAAGTAATGCATAAGTGGTTCCATTTGACTCTTAATACCTTGGTGTCAAATCGTCTTTTATTCCAAGTGTTAAAACTAGGGTGTTACAATATATCATTTTGAAGTCAGATGTCTGTTTAAGAATTGAGCATAATTTCTATGATCATATTGTCTTTTATTCCAACTGTTAAAATTGATAGATTATAATGTCTTTTAGAACCGAGGAGTTTTATAACGTATCATTTTTTTGACAGCGACACCCAATGCTTCATCCTTCGGTGAGGTAGAAATGGTCCCAGCGGCTAACATTGCTGAGGGACAAACAGTCCAGTTTACCTGTACCAGTAATGTTGGTCGTCCTGCAGGGACATTTGTATGGACCAAGTACAGTGGTATATCAGACTCCGTTGGTACCACTGTAGACTCGACCACACAGACGTCCGCCAGTACCGACTGTACCTTCACCGGCAGTAGTGTCATCTCTTTACTGATGACCAACAGTGACAACGGTATCATTGTCAGGTGTACCCTACAACAGGAAACTATCACCAACCCTACAGACACTATCTACTATAAACAAACTGATCCCATCAACGTGTACTGTAAGTGTCAAGGAAATCATTATCATCTCACAGGAATCACTTTTCAAAAAATTGCATTTTACCGTTAGAAAATTCCAACTATTGAAGTATCATAGTTTTAGTTTAAAGTTCTTACACAAGTGTCAATTTAATTTGAAATTAACCAGTGTTCAATATTTTTATATGTGGAATCTGAGATAATATCAAAGTCTTTCACAAGATTTTAGTAAAAAAGAAACCAGTGGAAGATTAGATTGAAAATTGATTTATTCTTAAACAATTAATTCAAACTCGAATTTGACATTTTTATCAGTGTAGACTTGTGAATTTTTATGATATATTTTTCCACTGCTGTAACAATCATTTCATGTGTTGTTGAGTGATGACAGAAACTTTGCTGCACTTGGGTCAGTTTTGAAGGGCAGTACAACAGACCATATATTTGATAAAATACAAGTTACATTGCTGTAATTTTCCTGAAGAGATTGAATGAAGTCATGTTGACTGATCTTCAATACAGCAATATATAATACAGTACATGCAACAACATCTATTGTTGTAATGTAAAAACATGTTACAAATTTATCTTCCTTGTAATAATATTTAATCATTTTTAAGTTGTATCTGGGTTAGACTGATGAAATGTTCTTGAAAATCTGCTTCTTTCACTAAAGTTAGCATTTTGATATTGAGTTTATTACATCTATGTGTTTTTATAAAATTTCTTTTGACACAGACAAAGTAAGACAGCCCATTGTAACTCCACCTACCAACCCAGCTGTGCATTATGAGGGCACCACATTGAACTTGAATTGTGCTGCTGAGGGTAACCCTGCCCCTACCTATATATGGCGTGTTAACGGAACACAAATCGGTACCGCAGCACTGTTACAGCTGACTAACATCAGGATTGACCAATCTGGGGATTATGTCTGTGAGGCGAGGAACAACTTTACTGGAAATATGTACAATGAGAGCAGAACTGTCTCCATCACAATAGGTATGTAAACATGTAGACCTGAGTTTATAGATATAATTTAGGATACTTGAGGTATACAGGTCTGTAAAATAACTAAATCTAGGTTTTATCTGTTAAAGAGAAAATATTAATGTGTTAGGTATAACAATATGTTTACATATTTCTGAGACAAGCTTTGATCTTGTGTGTGTGTTCAAATGATCTGTCTTTCTTTCTGACTCAATTTAAATGTCATTTATTCAGATTTTGATCTTTGACAAAAATTTCAATTAAATTCTATCGGAAAACAATTTTTCAAACTGATTTAACAAAAAAAGAAAAAACATACTGAATGATTTGATTGTAAAGTTGGGTCATTTTCACTTTATAAAGTTTAACCTTCTTTTGTTGATTCATTTATTTTCTTTATTTCTCATTTGTTTATTATGTTGTTTTTTTCTTAATCACATTTTGTATGTCCACTACCACAATATTTCCAAAGTTACCTCCCTTTCCTTCACTCTTCAATCCCTTTTAGTTGTCTCCCTTTTCTCTCACTCTCCTGTCATTAACACTGAATATGAATCACTGGAAACAAACCTATAAAAAAATCTGGTAATTGTAAATATTAATGAAGTTGCTTAATATGATCAGTAATACACAGACCTGGCCCCACTTGTATAAAACATCTCAACTTGAGATTTCCTCAAGTCGAGATTTTCCTCTGCTGATATCTCCTCAAAAACGGCTTGTATAAAATTTTCTCAAGATACAGGAGGAAGGCATCGGCTAGGTTGTCCTGAAATTCCTTGAGGAATTTTCATACAAGATATTTTCAAGGAGATATTAGCTGAGGAAAATCTGGGCTTGAGGAAATCTCAAGTTGAGATATTTCATACAAGTGGGGCCTGTTTGATATGTTTTAACTGCTCTACAGTTTCATATGACTGACTTTCTAGTTTGTTGAGCATGGAAATGTTGTGCAATGATAAAATATTATGTTATCTGTAAACAGTAGTTTCCTGTAATTTGTATTCTTCTTTTTCACTGAATTTAGTTTTCTTTTTTTTCCATTTTCTTGCTTGCATCATGTATTAGATTGGTGTTGTTTCCTTCTTTTTCATTTGCTAATATTTTTGTATCTTCTATTAAATGGGACAAACAACATTCTATAATCACGGATCAGAAAAGTTGTATACACACAGAATATAACACTATAAATACATTATACAGAAATATATTACATTTGTATCATTTTTACATCAGGAACTTTTTTTCTTTTTCCTTTATGGCGCTTTAATTCAAGGTCACACCTTTGTGATATATTTCCTGGAACAAACTTTTAAGTTATCATACATGTTTTCTGATATTTTTGTTTTCATTCCTGATTGCTAGCCCCAGTAAGAAGTGACATTGCACTGCATTAGATTTATATATAAAAATATACAATGTTTATTTGTTAGTAAGATCATTTCTGTTATATTAGCCCACCCAATAGTTCTGCTGTTAAGTAGCATTTAAGTGTCCACTGATAAGCTCACCCCCAAATTTTGAGGTAATGGGCCAGCCTTGTGCTCCCTGAGTTTACTGCAGCATAAATAGGTGAAAGGAGATGCTGTTGAATTATAAGCGCTGTACAGAAATTCATCCTATATATTTATATTTATTTAAGATATATCACAAATACTATATAACCTATCTATTGTCATAAAAAAATGTTTGCTCACTTATTGCAACAAAATCAATCTGAAAGGAAAATAACTTAATTTGAGTGATTTATTTACGTCTGAGATAGGTGAGGTATTTGTCACTGGCGTTCTGTTCGTTACAATAATTATGTCAGACAGATTATTGGACAGTCACATTTAAAAAGGAGGTGCAGATGTTATAACAAACTTTTTTTGACTTTATTGATACATTGGTCAGTGATGTGATAACTCAAGTGTCTATACAGAATGGCTATTCATTTAAGATCAAGCCATTAAAGTGCTGTGTTGATGATTTAGATGTCTCTCACTCTAACATAATAAAACATTGTATACCCAATTAAAATGGATAAAGTGGATTTAAAAAAAAATTTTCTTCTACATTTCCTGCTTTTTGATATTTTCCCACGAAGTTTACTGCTTTTTATTGACAACGTTTGAGTAAATCATTTCAGTTTGCTTTTTTAGTTTCATTTTTCTGGCCCTTTGGTTCTGTTTGTATATCCTGTCATCTTGGTTTTGGTTAAAACTTCCTTGAACTATTTTATCATTGTCTGTGTTACTCAATGCTTGTCCAATCTCTATCTGATCAAACACTGATCCTTCATGCATACAAACAACCAGTAAATAATGTCATTTCATTTGGAATATTTTTTTCAGTTAATTGAATGAACAGTCCCCAACTTTGCAAAAAAAAAAGAAAAAAATCTATACTATATTTTGAGAAAATCTGTAATTAATGATATTCTGTGTATATCAATGTATAGGTGTTGTATATACAGTTAGATATTTGATTTTTTGCAAATTTTCTTGTTAAAGATGATCTTTTGAAATACATTGAGAGCCTATCAAAATAAAATACACTGATATCCAGAATATTTTATCACATGTAAAATCTGGATAGATCTTTGTAAAAAAGGATTGTTCTTTACTTTTCAATAATACGATGACATCAGACCAGATAGAAACATAAGTTGTAGACATTATTGAGTAGGAATTAAGTAGTGACTAATATTTAGGCTTGGAAAACAGGAACGTAACTTTCTGTTTAATGATTGTGGAACTGGTTATGGAGTTTGTGTTTGAGAACATGATATTAGTAATCTTTTCAGTTTTGTGTAAGTTTACATTTGTTAGTAGTAAAACTAGTTATCAATCAACACAAAAAGGTTTGGTATTAGTTATAACCAGGTTATAACTTAGAATTTGGTATCTATTATAACCTGGTTATAATTTGGTATCAGTTATAATGTGGTTGTAAGTTATAATTTGGTATTGATTATAACCTGGTTATAATTTGATATTGTTTATAACCTGGTTATGAGTTATAATTTGGTATCAGTTATAACCAGGTTATAAATTAATAACAGTTAAAACCTGGTTATAATTTGGTACTAGTCATAACCTTGTTATAAGTCCTCCTGATTTGGTATCTATTATAACCAGGTTAAAATTTGATGTTTAATACAGAATCTGATAGTTTATAGGTTGTTATTTGTTATTATTTAACCTGATATGATTTAGGGTTAGTGACCAATAAGTTGTATAATATGATAAGTACAAATGCATTTGGAAATGGCTTACACATAGCTGGAATGTACAATTAATAATTTGCATGCATAAATAAGTTCTGTAATCCGGGCTACATAAGCTAGTATACCAAAGTGTATGAAACTGTCAGTCATATTAGTATCTGTCATTTTGACTATAAGTTTCCTGGAAAAAGTGTAATTGAAATAAAGTGATATATATCCATGAAAGTGACCTTTTTGAACTAAGGAAAATACTGTTCTGTACAAAACACTGTCACTGACATGTATTGATAAATGAAAGTTATGAGGTCTATGTTTGATATTTTCAATTTTGACCAAAATGACTTAATATGACTTTCAGTGATTAACGGAACCTCTTGAAAGTAAATAGAGAATCAGCTAGTTGTTTAGATACAGGTAAAACACTGAATTTTCGACGTTTTATTGTTGTTTTGCCAGTTTTATTTAAGAAATGTTTTAAATCACATCCAAACAAGGAATCATCCTTGTCCAAATATCTATGTAGTATTTAAATGAGCTTTTATTGGAAAGATTGGTAATTTAAATGAACCCGTACAACATGAAAAATTGAGTATTTTCAAGAGATTCCTTGTCTACACTTGAGGCCTAACAATATGAAAATGCTGTTTCCTGACTTACACTTCGCAGATAATCTTCTTTGGAATCATTTTAGAAATGATAAATGAAAGGCATTCTGATTATACATGTATTTGAAGAAAACTAAATTTATGGCTAAGTTCAGCCCTTCATAGATCAGAATTGGATTCTGCAGTGTTTTTTCCAAATATAAGGAACAATCATGAAAAATGAAAAAAAATATATTGGATTTGGAATTGGATTTCTAAATTCAGCCATGAATGATCTTCTAAAAAATGTAATATAAACTGATTGAAAATAGACACAGCAACCCTTATGAAAATAGGGGACTTGTGAAAGAGAATTGTTTAATGAGGTAGCAGGGAACAGTGCGTTTGTTTGTTTGGCCTGTGTTATGGCTGAGAGAGTTTTCTGCATGATTCTGGACATCTATTACCTGCCTTCTCTACAGAAACACCACCCACCACTACCACTTCTACAACTACTCCTGTTCCATCTGTAGACCCCACACCAGGAGGAGGCGGTGGTACAGTTTCCCCCCAGGACCAGGATGACAGTAAGTACCACAACAATGACACTCGTTGTGTAACTGGTAGTGAGCCCAAGAGGGGCAGTTCTGTAAGGAAATCACCAAATGGAAATTCAATAATTCATTCTCCTGAGAATAGGTCCAGCCATATCTACTGTTGACTAGAATTACAGAATCATAGACAAGTACTAATTCATTCTCCTGGGAATAGGTCCAGCCATTCTACTGTTGACTAGAATTACAGAATCACAGACGAGTACTAATTCATTCTCCTGGGAATAGGTCTTCTACTGTTGAAGAATTACAGAATCACAGACGAGTACTAATTCATTCTCCTGGGAATAGGTCCAGCCATTCTACTGTTGACTAGAATTACAGAATCATAGACGAGTACTAATTCATTCTCCTGGGAATAGGTCCAGCCATTCTACTGTTGACTAGAATTACAGAATCACAGACAAGTACTAATTCATTCTCCTGGGAATAGGTCCAGCCATTCTACTGTTGACTAGAATTACAGAATCACAGACAAGTACTAATTCATTCTCCTGGGAATAGGTCCAGCCATTCTACTGTTGACTAGAATTACAGAATCACAGACAAATACTAATTCATTCTCCTGGGAATAGGTCCAGCCATTCTACTGTTGACTAGAATTACAGAATCACAGACAAGTACTAATTCATTCTCCTGGGAATAGGTCCAGCCATTCTACTGTTGACTAGAATTACAGAATCACAGACAAGTACTAATTCATTCTCCTGGGAATAGGTCCAGCCATTCTACTGTTGACTAGAATTACAGAATCACAGACAAGTACTAATTCATTCTCCTGGGAATAGGTCCAGCCATATCTACTGTTGACTAGAATTACAGAATCATAGACGAGTACTAATTCATTCTCCTGGGAATAGGTCCAGCCATTCTACTGTTGACTAGAATTACAGAATCACAGACAAGTACTAATTCATTCTCCTGGGAATAGGTCCAGCCATTCTACTGTTGACTAGAATTACAGAATCACAGACAAGTACTAATTCATTCTCCTGGGAATAGGTCCAGCCATATCTACTGTTGACTAGAATTACAGAATCACAGACGTGTACTAATTCATTCTCCTGTGGATAAACCCGTCCATATAGATTTAGTGATCAAGCCGGTCCCTATCTGTGCTTATTTCCGAATATATATCTGATGCCTTCACTTCTTCGCTTTATTATCGTAACACCAAGATAAAGTTGCCCACACATGTCCTACTGTGTAATATCTAGTCCGTTTGTAGCACTTAGTTCTTAATGCCCTAAATCCTGATTTTAACCTCAGTTTTTGAAGTTGTATAAATCTATACATGTCATTGTAATTATTATACAATTAATATTATATCGTTAATTATTTACAGTGCATAAATTACCATCTAATGTTGTTGTTTCTATACATTTATAACATTGTGATTTGATTTTAATTCTTCAATTTGACATTACATTTACAATCAATAACTTGAAAGCTCTTGGTTATTTTGCAGATATTTTAAAATTTTCAGTATTTCAGGTTCAAGTAAAGAATTTGATAGCATCAGGAAATGAGTGTATTGATCTTTTATGATTGTATTGCTGAACTGATAAAAAACCTTTAAAGTAAATTTACAGTTAACATGTGGTCAGTTCAAATCAGGGTGGTTGACCTGCAGTCCGTTCAATTTGGGAAGGAAAATCCTTTTGCTCAGTTCAAATCTAGATGCTTAACCTTTAGTCAGTTCAAATTGGGAAAGTCAACCCTGGTCAGTTCAAATTAGGAAAGTCAACCCTGGTCAGTTCAAATTAGGAAAGTCAACCCTGGTCAGTTCAAATTGGAAAAGTCAACCCTTGTCAGTTCAAATTGGGGTAGTCGGCACTGGTCAGTTCAAATTGGGGTAGTCGGCACTGGTCAGTTCAAATTGGGAAAGTCAACCCCTGGTCAGTTCAAATTGGAAAAGTCAACCCTTGTCAGTTCTAATTGGGATAGTCAGCCCTGGTCAGTTCAAATTGGGGTAGTCGGCAGGTCAGTTCAAATTGGGAAAGTCAACCCCTGGTCAGTTCAAATTGGAAAAGTCAACCCTTGTCAGTTCTAATTGGGATAGTCAGCCCTGGTCAGTTCAAATTGGGGTAGATGGAACTGGTCAGTTCAAATTGGGAAAGTCAACCCCTGGTCAGTTCAAATTGGGATGGTCAGTTCAGATTGGAATAGTCAGCCCTGGTCAGTTCAAATTGGGGTAGTCGGCAGGTCAGTTCAAATTGGGAAAGTCAACCCCTGGTCAGTTCAAATTGGAAAAGTCAACCCTTGTCTGTTCAAATTGGGAAAGTCAGTACTGGTCAATTCACATTGGGATAGTCAACTCTGGTCAGTCAAATTGGGAAAGTCAACCCCTGGTCAGTTCAAATTGGGGTAGGCGGCACTGGTCAGTTCAAATTGGGAAAGTCAGTACTGGTCAGTTCAAATTAGGAGCGTCAACCCTGGTCAGTTCAAATTGGGATAGTCTGCACTGGTCAGTTCAAATTGGGATAGTCAGCACTGGACAGTTCAAATTGGGAAAGTCAACCCTGGTCATTTCAAATTGGGACAGTCAGCACTGGTCAGTTCAAATTGGGAAAGTCAGTACTGGTCAGTTCAATTTAGGATAGTCAACCCTGGTCATTTCAAATTGGGATAGTCAGCACTGGTCAGTTCAAATTGGGAAAGTCAGTACTGGTCAGTTCAAATTAGGATAGTCAACCCTGGTCAGTTCAAATTAGGATAGTCAACCCTGGTCAGTTCAAATTGGGATAGTCAATGTACAAAGTGACACAAATTCAATGAAAACATGAAAGTACTTAATAAATTATATTAGATTTCAACACATGACATCTAAGCCGATGTGACATCCAAGCTGAGCTGACTTCTGTCTTAACCTGTGAATAATGAATGATGAGTTTTGGTGATTTTTATTGGAATTTAAGAGATTTTTTTATAATTCAAACAGTTTCAACAATGTTTAATTTTCACTCTCTAATCTGTCACTAATTGTGTTATAAGATGAATGTGATCTTGGAGGCATGGAAAGGTCACACTCTAATCTTCTACTGGTTGTGTTATACTATGAAGGTGACTTTGTAGGCATGGAAATGTCACACTAATCTTCTACTGGTTGTGTTATACGATGAAGGTGACCTTGTAGGCATGGAAATGTCACACTCTAATCTTCTACTGGTTGTGTTATAAGATGAAGGTGACCTTGTAGGCATGGAAATGTCCCACTCTAATCTTCTACTGGTTGTGTTACACGATGAAGGTGACCTTGTAGGCATGGAAATGTCACACTCTAATCTTCTACTGGTTGTGTTATAAGATGAAGGTGACCACACTTGTAGGTGTTATGGAAATGTCATGGAAACGTCACACTCTAATCTTCTACTGGTTGTGTTATACGATGAAGGTGACCTTGTAGGCATGGAAATGTCACACTCTAATCTTCTACTGGTTGTGTTATAAGAACTTCTGTTATAATGATATTACCAGCCAAGTAAACACTAAGAAATATGTATATATCATTCTCACTCTTTCCCCTTGTACTAAAGTTTATGTTAATTTTTATCTGGTTATCGTTTCCTGAACTTCAGATTTCATGGATTAAGAATACCTAAAAATTAAACAATAATAAAACCTCTAGGAAATTTATGATGTTACAGGATATGTTAAAAACCTTGGAAAAGTTTGCAGCTGTAGTTTTCTTTTTACAGGTCAAGGCTAAATGTATAGATTCATTATGTTTATAAATTTACAGCTTCCAGTGGACCCAACACCACTATCATTATCGTCATTGTTGTTGTCGTCGTCGTTGTCATCGTGATTGCTGGAGTTGTCGGCTTTTTGTGTCTGAAACGTAGGAATGCAAACAAAAGTATTGAAGGTAAGATAAGTATGATAGATTTAATGATTATATGTCTATAAAGGTCCTGAAGGGAGTCCAGAATAATGGTCTTTATAGACAGGTGTTCTTAATAAAGAAGTTCAAGTACCAAGGCTTATAAAACATTGGAAAATGAAACGATGATGATAGGTGTTTTCAGGTAGATGGTTTAGTCAGTATCAATTGTAATACACAGTTGGGACCAGAAACAAGAGGTCTTTATAGACAGGTATTTATGAGAGGTGACCTTTATAAGCAGGTATTAGTTATGTTATCAAGGTGGTCTTTTAGACAGGTATTTGTTGTTTGAAATAAATCCATTTTGCTTCAAACTTTTGATAACCCACAGAAATTTGAATAAAAACCCCAAACTTGACAGTTATTGGTTTGATTGAGATCTACATCTCATCAGCTTAAGTTTACATACATTTTGTCTTTAAAAATATTTCATTTATTTTTCAGAACCTCCAGAGAAACCAAGGAAGTAAGTAACACTGTGTGTGTGGTAAATAATATCTTGCTAAAGGGAAGTAACTCTTATTGTTGTCTTGGTGTTCATATCATTGTCTCAAAATGTGAAAAGTTTCTGGGGTAAGTTTCCTAATAATTCCATAAGTAATCAGGCAGAGCTGTAGAATGTAACTTGTAGCATTTTATGTTGAAACTGTTTGGAATATCTTTAAATTTTGTGGATAAGTTTTGATATCACAAATGATAACATATCCAGATTTCAGGAACTGATCGTGGTTGTACAAGAATACATAAACTGCTATTGTAAATAGAGTAGGGGATTATCATGTACTTCATTGAAAAACAAATCAGTTATAATAGCGTACCACGGAAAAACCTCTAAACATAAATTGACTGAGATGTTGAGAACTGTTGTTTCATTGATTTCTTTGTTTCCACAGTAACTCCGACCTTAGTGCCCTGGGCAAGCCTCCAGATGTGATCCGTAATGATGAAAAACATAACATTGGTTACAATAATGTAAGTAGTTGTGGGATCATTGATTGTTATTTTCCAGTCAGAGTATAAGTTGCCCGTATGTGTCCTTCCTCCACCCCATCATAATTTGGTTTTCCATGATTTGTTCTTTGACTGGGTAAAAAATGTGTTTTGTAGTTGTGTTCTGAGAAAGTGCAATTGAAGATTTATTTTGGTCTGATCTATTCCATAGCCCTTATACCTGTAAGTTTTAACATATGTTGGTAAACGCTTAACTCCATTTTCATTAAGAAGAGTTTTAAAGACTTATTAGTTATTTCATTCATAATGTCGTATTGCAAGACTTTTTAAGCGGAAAATAGGCCCAATTCCAAAATGAAATGATTTAATATCCAAGCCAAATTCTCAAAATGTGCAATTTACTCCTAACAATTTCCTTCCAAATTCAACAATTTTCTTCCCAAAATGAAGTAAAAATACTCCATCCCTGACCAGTGCAAGAAAACCCCTTGTTGACTTGTTTAGGATACTGTAGTCCGAATAGCATTGGACAAAACAACATTGTCTAAAGTCTGAGATATATAGTTTCAGACCTGCCAAGTCTCACGCATTTGGCCACTGTCACACACTCATGCAAGCCTTAGTTATCTCACGCGAAATGAATTTATTGGTCAGAAATTTTCAAAAACCTCGTTTTCTACACTTATACTGCGGTTATATGATCCTAAGCAGTGGTGATGATGAGTCGAGCGATGTGCGGCGCACTCTGCCACCTAGTGCTACTGATTAGCCAATCACAGTGACGCTTACATGTAGCTCTGGCAGTCTAATAGTTTGACTAGTTAAGTCTTTTAGCATATATAAACATTAATAGTTAGTGAACATATTCCCAGGAACCTCAAGCAAAATATGAGCAAATTCATCCAATCTCAAGCAAAATTTCAAGCAACCTCCAGCAAAGTTGTTATACCCCCTTGGCAGGTCTGTAGTTCATTCCCTCAGATATGTTTGTGTTTCTATGTGTGACTGTCCAATGCTGTGACTGTCCAATGCTGTGGTGGTTGTGATGTCTTTGGGTAAAACATTTGATCCTTACAGGATATTATACAGTGTGCTTCCTCAAAATGATGGTGGCTGTTGATGAGTGTCACAGTCCCAACCGTTTATAATTACATAATATTGAATATAAAGAGAAATGTTTACTGATCTGTTTGTTATTGAATAACAGCTGACCATACTCTTGTTTCTATTTAACAGTTTGATAAAGGGAAAGGTGAACTGCAGTACGCAGACCTAACTTTTGATGATAGACCACGAAGTCGGCGTCCTATACAGATCCTAGATACCGACCTTGGACCCACGACTTACTCAGAGGTCACAATGCCCAGTGTGTGACCTTTGACTTTGAGTGATGAGGACATTTGTGCCAAGGACATCGCAGGAGTAGTGTAGTGCTAATCTGTGATGTCTTAGTATCTAAGGCAACTAAATCACAAAGGTCACGACCTTTGAAACAGCAGGTTGCCGTCCAAATATGGGAATCAATATTTTCATTGTAACACGATATTGACAAATTTCTCTTAAAGGACGTTTGAAATGCCTTTGAAGAATTAATATTTTATCATGCTGTTGATCGTGTTTATACTGCCTTATAAAGGTAGTTGTTTGTTACGGACAGGAGATGGGGAAAAGATTTTATGCCCACCATTTCTAGACAGCTTCCATCATTTCTCTACCATCTCCATGTCATCTGTATCATCACCAAAGATATATCTTATAATCAGCCAGAAACAACACGATACATAATCTGTGCACTGTATGTATCAGTGCCTGGTAATCACATATACATATTCTTGATGGAGGACAAGTTCCTGTAAGATTATTTTCACAAAGAGTTAATCAAGTTGAAAATGTGGATACTTTTAAATCCACATATGTAAATGTCTATTGAATTGAACTGAATACTTAGTGTGAACAAAGTAATGAATTTTGAGCTGAAATGTGATTTTAAAGTGACATAATTCAACAAAACATAAAAAAGTAGAACAGAGTGAACATAAGAATGTTTTAAAATTATAAATATTTTTGTAATAAGTTCAGAAAACATACAATATGGTCTTTAATTTGTGAAATGCTGAAGTCTGTACAAGTTGATAACAAGTAAAGGAACTGAATTTTGCCAAAAAGTTATTATTTGTTAACATTCTGACTAAAAAGCCCAACATTTATTTGATTGGATTCATTATTTTGGTTTAATTATCCATATTTCTCAGTGGACATAATTGTTTATCAGGGGACATAATTGTTTATCAGGGGACATAATTGTTTATCAGGGGACATAGTTGTTATCAAACCACCTATTAAATATTCAATTCTAAATCGGTTAAATTGTCACCAAAATCATCATGTTAATATAAATGTGACCTCGGACATTTTTACTGTTTTTAAAAGTAATGCACAGGAACTGCGCAATAGATTCAGAGAAAATCTACAAACTGAGGTAGTGTTCACCAATCACAGCACAAGAAAGTTGTTTGGGTTCTGACAGAGTGGAAATGATGTCTTTGAGACGTAAATATGGACAAACTTTTAGAATTAATCTTTTACAGTAATCCAGCTGGATTATCTGAAATGTAACTATAAACCCACTCCCTTCCACAGCTGATAGAATTTTACAATATCATCAATACAAGTTCACAGTTATTTAATTCTGGGATTTTGCTTTGATTCTGAAATTAAATTTTACACGAAATAATGTTGGTTTTATGCAATGTTGATATGTGTTATTAGTTTAAATTTTCAACCCAATTAACGGGGTTGAATCATGTGATTTTAAATTTATAATCAAAAGGATGCTTGTTTCTGTAGCAATCTGACTGTCCTGTAGTTGTTCTGGTCACAGAGTTATAATGATATCCTGTCTGTTGTCTTCATACATTATACATGTTTGGTAAAGACTTTAGGTAAACATAACTTTGATAAATTATATTTAGGTTATTAACTGGAATATGTTATCTATATAGAATTTATTTACTGAATTTACTAAATCGTGTTTTAATTCATTTTCTGAGTGGCAAGGTTCAGCATATATACATGTTGGAAACATCCTTCTGAAGTTATCAGATACCTAAAAGTGAAACTGCCAATCTAGATTTTGAAATTTCTTTCAGCCACTTTGAATTTCCTTAGTTGTCACCAGGTTACAGTGTATATTTATAAATAAAAGACTATTCCGTGAATAAAAAGAAGACCATTGCTTCACAGATGAAAAAAAATCTTTCTCCCACTATAAATGTGTCTAAATATCATTCCATATCTTGCATGTCATGATGTAAATGTTAAAATCAGAACATTTCTTTGTGTCGTCAAATATTTTGTGTTTCACTTCCTGCTTTGAGCATTCATTGTAATAAATATTTGTAATGATTGATCATTGATGTTATTCCAATAGTTAATATATTTTTCTAATCTTGAAATTATTATAATTTTCATTGTTATTTCATTTTAATTGAAAACAGGAGGTGTTCATTGTAATATTTTTTATCATGACTGGAGTTGTTGAGATAATGATATGAGTCAGTGCTACAAAGAATATTTCATATGTCAATATCATCAGAATATGTACCTGCTAGCTCACACTAGTTTGAGTTGAAAATCCAATTTGCTACCTAGATTTAAAAGATTAACCTGCAAAACTTTGTATGAAATTTTTAAAATCTGTTTGTCAAAGACCTGGTAAATCTACTTTCATCAAGTTTTGAATGCATCTACTTAAAAACTGAAATGTGTCAGAGTTTTTTTTTGTACATAGTGTTTTAAAATGGGAAATACTGAATTTGACTAGATATCATATCTGATAAATGGTTACTTTGTAAATGTTGATTTTTGTATAAATTTTTTATTTATTTTAGATTTGCTGACTCCAAATAAGAAATGTCTTGGTTCTTAAAAAAAACACCTAATGATGACTTTTTGGAGTTTGATATAGGATCTGATTTTTGGATGTTACAACTTGTTGATCTAAAGATAGGTTACAAGGTTTGATGGATATACTTATATAACATTTAGTAGTATACAAATTTGTACAATTACTGATAAGCTAAAATTTATTCCTGATGTGAAATACCATTACATTGATTTCAACACCACTGACAAAAAATTTAAGTAGAATACCAGATGTGCTGTGGATTTCTGATAACATAGTTTTCCATATTTACTTACATCCAAAAAAACAAAACTCGGAAAATGTAAAATCAGCTGTAAAAATCGGGCATATAAAAATGTTCTGGTATTGCGAACAAGCAGTAGGAGAACCATGGCTAACAGAATGAATCACTACAAACACGATTTGTTTTAATCTCTCTTATGTTGTGGAAATCAGATGGAGGTAACAAACAATACCTAATGTGATCTGAAATATTTCTCCTTGGTTAAACACATGTAACAGTGATCCCTATCTATGATTTAGATTTATATCAGGAGAGCGATGCAGGCCTATTGAAGCCTCATGTTACAGCAGTGCTACAAGGAACTAGTTATATCTCCTGTTTGATTTTCAAAAATAGCTGGTTCTATATGTTTTCTGAAATAAGATATTGTCAAACTTTTATGTATGGAAAAAAATTCTTTTGGTACATTTCTACAAAGTCTACAAGTATTTAGTTTAATTGTAAAATATTTTTTGTATAATACATTTAAAGGGTTGTAAGTTAGACAAGTATAATGATGTTTTCCGGTGATGTCACCAAGTCTACTTTGAAAACTTTTTCTTTTTGTATGAGAAATTCAGTTCTGTGAAAACCATATTTTGGGGAGGTATCAGATTTGTTAATATGAACTTGGAATTCATTACTTAAATCTCTTATCATGTTATATTTTTTCATTTTCAGTTTTCCTATTTATGGAAAAAATGAATATTTTTGAAGAGTTTTTATATGATGAAATGTTTTTAAAATTATTTTCATACTTATTAACAGTGTGAAAGCAGCTGGTCCAGAAGATGGACCAATTTCTACTAACTTAAATTTATCCTACATTGATAAACATATCATTAGCATGTCTGCATGTCTAAATCTCATTTTCATGAAAATTTAATAAGTTGTCCCTGAAATTTCAAAATGTTTCAAAATCTCATAATTTATAAAGTTTTTCTTTTTGAAATGCGTGGTAAAGTTCTTTTGATGTGTAATATAACGATGTTCCTGTACACAAGAAGTCATTTTACCACTACCCAATCCAAGTTTCCCCTGACCCCTATAACAGACATTTTGATGGACAGGTGTCTGATATGAAGCTGCAGACAAACTTGTTTGGAAAGTAAGAATTCTCTCAGTGTGGACTAAAGTACAACTATTAATCAATGAGGTCTTTATTTTTCTCAGCCCATCCATTTCGTCCTAAATTAAAGTTTGATATAGTGTAATGTTCTTGCTCCTAATCAGCCACCTGCCACACCAACAAATGTGAGAGGAAACTGATTTACCATTGCTGTGGTTCTGTGGTTGATTATACCAATAGCTTTGCCTATAGTGCATTCCATGTTCTTTTATACATATTTTTCTGACACCTTGAACAAAGCAAGTTTATATTTATCTATCATAATCATCAATCTGTTGTTTGTTAAACAATATTTGTGAAAAAAAATTCTTTGGTAAGAAATTACATTTTTTTCTTCACGAAATGATTAAGGAGCTTGAACATTTTTTCACAAATGGTGCATATTCAATGTAGTGTTTACACTACATCAGTGTTTAGGTAGTGCTCCCTCATGCAGACTTATCTCCCTTTGTGATGGAATTTACCTCCCTTCCATACAATACACACATATATATATATACAATATCACACACTACGAGATATTGTTACAGAATTTCTGTATCACAATACCAGTAGATAGCTTGTATTTGTCACTATAAAACGAACTAGAGTCTGTGTAACTAGCATCACAGGATGAAAGTCCTTTCTGAAAGAAAAGTCTGCACAAGTAGAATTATATGTCTAGGATTAATAACATATCATCTTTGTTACTCGATTCCATGTTAAATCAATCTATTCTACATATTAAAGAATGGTTCTACTTCAGAATCACAAACCTGTCGTATTCTAATTTTTATCTTTCTCAGCATTTGGACTTTGATGTAAAAAAAATTCAGGGACATCTGGAAGGTTGCTAATGGGTGCCAATTTTCCACTTGTACATAATCACTGGTCTTAAAATTAAGCCAGAATTTCTTCTTCAGAATGACAGGCCTAACATATTCTAATTTTTTTTTTCACTCAAAATTTCAAACTTGGAAAAAAAGTGAGTGGTTCCAAGGTTTTTATGTGTAGCTATACATACATGTCTTAACTTGTATTCATCTATTTACCAGGAACTGGTGAAAATAAGGATATTT